TGTGTGTGTGTGTGTGTGTGTGTGTGTGTGTGTGTGTGTGTGTGTGTCAGCCTCAAGTGTGGTTGTAACCTACTGTTTAAAAAGCTAGGACATAGAACACGTGAACTTTATAAATAAAAACAGATTACAGGTTTCATGTAAGATGCTCAGTGTGGGTTCTGAGATGAAGGAATGTTTTGCTTTTCGGGGAACACTTCCTAAACCCCTGTTCTGCTTGTGTTCTAATGGGATGAGAGACACTAAGAATAAATAACTCTATGTGTGAAAAATAAACAAACAAAGAAATAAATTAATAAACAAAGTGCTGTGAAAAACAATAAAACCGGGTAAAGGATAAAGGAAAGTGAGATATGTCATGTATATACGCAACCAGAAAAGGACTCTACAGAAGTGGCATCTGAGCAAGACAGGAAGAGAAAATCTGAAGCTGTGTAAACACTTGAAGATACTGGGATGATAATAACAAGAGCAAAGGCCTTGAGTCCAAAACAGTCTCATGGTCTCTAGTTGAAGCAATGAGGTCAGTGCAGCTGAAACAGAATGGCTACCATGGAGGAGGGAAGAACACGGAATACTGGAAGTAGCTGGTTAGCTTGGGGCTTAGTGGTCAAAGTGCTCCCTTTTCTTCTGACCAAAAAAAAAAAAAAAAAACAAAAACAAAAACAAAAACAAAAACCATGGAGGTTTTTTAATAGACGACAATATAAGACCGTTAACAAAAATGCTTACTAGGGTAGCTGAAGTCATCTGTGGAGACACTGACAGGCTACTCCCAAAATCTTCCAATCAAGAGTCAATGAATTGGATAACAGTAGCTGTAGCAGTGGTGTGAGAGAGCAGTCAGCTACTGGTGTGCTCATGAAGAGACAATAGGACTTGCCAGTGAATGCAGGGGGGTATGATACGGAGAATAGGGCCAAGGATGGCACTGCCACAGTGAGCAAAACAATGATATCAGGAGCTAAAATTGGAGATGAATACCAGGAAGAGGAACTGAGAGGGAAATCAAGCTAGTTGTATAACAGATGTGTTGATTTTTAAGAATTTCACAAGGCAAGGTCATATCTAAAAGAGGAAATGTCTGGGGGTATGTCAAGCATAAGGAAGGTTGCAAAAGTAACCTGGTTATGAAGGTAAAGGCATTGCTAAAAAGCGG